AGTGAATAAAGGTAACGTTGACGTACTTGTTACATACTTAAGGTATTTCGAGTCGTCGTGACATTTTTGAATTCCTAAAATCCCGTGGGAAGTTAATGGAGTATTATTCCGATGAACCGATCAGGAATTCACTAACAAGAATTTGTTTTGCAACTTATGAGCAAATGAAATTGTATAAACAGTTCCCTGAAGTTGTTGGTATCGACTCGACGTATAATACGAATAAGGGGAAGTAAGTTTACCAATTAAAAAAAAAAAAAAAAAAAAAAAAAAAAAAAAAAAAAAAAAAAAAAAAAAAAAAAAAAAAAAAAAAAAAAAAAAAAAAAAAAAAAAAAAAAAAAAAAAAAAAAAAAAAAAAAAAAAAAAAAAAAAAAAAAAAAAAAAAAAAAAAAAAAAAAAAAAAAAAAAAAAAAAAAAAAAAAAAAAAAAAAAAAAAAAAAAAAAAAAAAAAAAAAAAAAAAAAAAAAAAAAAAAAAAAAAAAAAAAAAAAAAAAAAAAAAAAAAAAAAAAAAAAAAAAAAAAAAAAAAAAAAAAAAAACATACTTTACATTTTATTCGTAGACAAGAAATCCCATTGTGAAGAACTACTTATGCCGTCTAGTGCAGTGTAAAAGGAGATCAGAGTAATGCCTCTATTGTTCTCATTTTGCAGATTTAATTTCTACTTCAGAGTTATTAGCAGATTGGATGCTAATGTCAGTCAATATCTACAACGTCGTTGGATGCATCGACGAGAATTGTGGGCGGCCTGTTTCAGAGATAACGTGCTGACTTTTGGGAACGATACAAATAATCGTGTCGAGAGTTCCCACAAGCAGATGAAACGGTTTTTGCAAAGATCTGATAGTCTGCATAAAAGTATGCTAAAGGTGTATAAATGGCATAAACGAAGTTTTTCAATAATACAGCAGGAGGCGAATATTGCTCAATCACGATGCTTCACGTATCCCTGTTCACAAAGTTTAATCCCAATTATACGGTTGCTTACACCATACGCCGCGAGGAAGGTAATACGTGAATACCAATTGCGACGATGGGCTACTGTTGAGTTCGAATCCGTTGATTATGTATTTTTCAAAGAAAATGGGAAAACAGTGCAGGTTGATCTGAGTGCTTGCACCTGCACGTGCTTTACACTTCAGACCTGTCGGTACCCCTGCCGACACTTGCTTTTGGTCCACTTAAGAAAGCCGTATTTCACAGGTATATTTGCGTTTTTATGACTACGTTTTTAATGTATAATGTAATGTAATAATCAGTTCATAGTTATCTTAACTTTTTTTGTTCCACCTTTTGTAGTTAACAAAAAAAAAAAAAAAAAAAAAAAAAAAAAAAAAAAAAAAAAAAAAAAAAAAAAAAAAAAAAAAACAGCAGTTATCCCTCGAAATCGAAGTAACATATACGATACCAAAAAGAAGATTATCAATGCGGGTATGGACAGAATTAATGACAAATTTGGAGAAGTGTTTGCCAATACTTATGCAGACGGAGTAATCGCAGGAATCAATCGTGTTCTTAATATGTAAATAAACTAAATTTTTGTCATAATGAAAATAAAATTTTCATGTAAATTTTGTTGTCTTTCAATTCATGTGTTCACTTTGTGAGCACGGCATGCTAGACCGGTGCTCTCTAGGACTTTCACTACTAACAATACGTAAGTGTAATTGTGTAGGAACGATGTCGGTCAGCATACGTGTTAAATTATAAGTATTTCAGTTAGCTAACGTGCATAAGTATCATAGTCATATACAAGTCTTTAGGGACAATAGTAGGCATACCTTAGGCACTGCATTCGAGTCCCTGTTCTTATACGGTTACGTGTATTCGAAAGTATTGCATTACTAATGTTTCACTTAAAGCGTGATGTCAATCCATATGACTAAGGCTGTTGACATGTAGCGTAAATTCAACTCTACATCAGAAGAATTATTGAATTCGTTGAGCTTTAACAATCGTATTTAGATTTAGCTTACACTAAAATATGCCACCAATTACTTCGTCAGTTCTTATTAATAAGTCATGTCTGCACCTAGTCATCATGACAAATACATCTAAACTCAGATATAATAAGAAAGGTCTGGTAAGCAGGATATTAAATGTATTTAATGAAAAAATAATAACAAGCAAATGTGTTTACGCAGTCGATTGTCGGAATAATTTGTGCAATGTCGAATCTCTGTGACTGGGGTGATTGACGTTACCAGATATCTACAAATAAGTAAACAAAGTGTTTTTTAAATAGCTGAAGTAAGGAAGAAGTAATATTAAAGGTAAACGATTTATATCTGCCTACCTTTGCTGAAAATGGTTTATTTTCCTTTCTCATTCTTTGGTAATGACATCATTATTCTGGGGTTTTCACTGCAACACACATTATTCCTCTTCTAAAGGATAGCAGCAAGCATATAGTAATAATTTCAAATTTCGTTTAAACCAATGTTTACAATGAATGCATGTCATTTCTACAGGCGCAATAAGTTATGTTATAAACTGCAATCGTGAAGTATCATGAATTATAAGAGTTAAATTGTAAACCCTTAATAATGAACACCGTACATTTGGCTAAGTGCTATGTCGTTGGAATGTGAGTATACATCTGCAATGTTTAATGCCAACCATATTGGTGTAAGGATAGAAAATATGATGTTTTCTATGAAAATACAGCTTTGTTCCAACACTGCTGTTGTTGTGTTTCTAATAAAAGCAAATAGACTGTAAGCATAAAGGCATATCCAGTTAACATAAAATGCAGTGTAATAGTGCACAAATGAAAAGACCATAGTGAAGTAAATAAGTGATACTTCAGTGAGAGGTAAATTGAAAGATCTGCAACCTTATAATATGGAAGACAACCTGACATGTAAGATGTCTCACAAATTTCAATAGGGCCTGTGGGGTACCATGGATGGTTTGGCGTCAATCGCAGCTTTGGAATAATGAGTTACAAATGCTAAAGGTAACAACCAACGAAACTGTAGTAGTATTTTCTAGCTGTTCAGCATTTTTTCCTTTAATGCAGTTTCTTATCAACAGTTTGCAGTATTCAGAACATCACAAGTTGCTTACAGATAACTTGTCTAATAATAACTGCGTTAAATATATGAGCCATAAGTGCATCTTCCACATCTTTCATAGCCACAATTAAGTCATTAAGGATCTCACAATATCTTAGTGATGTGAAGCAAAATAATTTTTAAGATTGATATAACCTATGTAACAGGTGTAGTAGTTGTACGACACAGCCGCCAGCTACTAATCGACATAAATCTGGTACTAATTTTAAGTACTCTGACATTTGAGAAGGACTATTTATACTATTCTTCCAGACACAATGAACACTGATGTCAATATACTCTGATGCCATTTCATGCACTGAGCAATTAAGGCCTTGTGAAATTCCATGTGCAAATGTCAATTAAACTATTGTCACATCTTCGCCCAAGCACTTTTAACTAGGAACTTCATCTAAATAGATATAATAACCAGGAAATTCAGCAGCCTGTCTCATTCATCGCATAATGTCGTCAATGTGTTATGGAATATTTCAGTCATCCCGGATGATAACAGAAAAGTTTAACATGTTCAAAGCACACATCTAACCTATGTCTGCATGCTATTTATCTTTCATAGGCCAGATTCTCATAGATTCACTGGAATGACAACAGCCATTGACTGCAGTATATTTACAACCTTAAGATCTGAAACAACTGGAAAATAAACAAACCCTCAACGCACTATAATGCAAATAATAGTCTTTCTATGCGAACTTTCTTAAAAAGGGTGACTTCTTCATTGATAATTCGTCCGAGCTATAATATACAATTTTACGCTCTACTAAGAACAAAATACAGCAAAATACTGCCATCCGGCTACATAAGTCTAAAACTAGTCAAATATAATCTATTTCCAAAAAAATAGGTGATTATAACGTCTGTTGACGTGAGCGCGGTAACCGATGGCATTGCGCGATAACACCTGGTGTCGGCCTATATCCTCACTCCCTGCAAAAATGTCACCAATTTTGAAAGTACCGCCAGAGAGAAGATTAGAGCCTGATTAAACGCAGTATTTTCGATTTAAGTATGGAATTTTCAGCACGTGATATAGTTAGCCCAATTTAGTAAGTTGACCATAGATATAAGGTGTGCGTGGACCAGGGACCGAACCCCAGACCACCTGCATGGTCGGCGGGCGTCATATAATTCTTTGCTAATTGGGATTTAGATATTGAGGGTATAGATTAATATGAATTCATGAATATAGTTGCTGGGTATTTCAGCACTCGGATTACCGCAGTGACACAAACAACATGCTATTTCTCTTGGAGAACACAGAGACAAAATCCACTTAAGCTGTGGTCTTGACGGCTTCTTTTTCCCCATTTATTCAATCAACAACTCCATACATAAGTTTTAGGCAAAGCCCCACCATTAATACTGAAGATTCTACAGTTACTGCTGGTTGTCGTGCTATGGAACAGTAAGGTAGTCTACACATTTCGATGATTGGCCTGAGTTTTCTAAATGTAATGCCTGAAATTTCAGGAATTATACTGATTATCAGACTGAGGAACGCGTCGCGAAAATTTTATAATTGCGGGCAGATTATAGGTCACTTTGGACAGAAATGGTATATGAAGAAGCCAAGAAACACCATATCCACTAATCTTTTACGGGAAGTGTATTAATTCTAACTCTATTGCATCTGAAAATGAGCCATTCACAAAGAAAAGTGATTAATAGTTATGTCGGAGAATAATATTCTTTCAAGCTTTACCACTGAGTTCGTGGAGCAGGCATGTTTTTATTAAAGTTCCTAATATTTTGGTAAAAGCCTAAACAATAAGATCAAGAAGTGCATCCAGGATGCTGTTGTGCTGTCGCTTCAGATTATTTTCGCCTTCTAAAAAACCCCAACAACACTCAAGACACAAAACGAAGTTAAAAAAGTGTATATATAGGCGAAATCATTAAAAACCCCCAAATGAAACTTTAGTGTGTTTAAAACCACTGCGTTATCGTGGCAACTGAGGCGGATATTCAACTAGCCGAGGATTTTAAAAGTAAAATCCAATTACCTATGTTTTGTCCATTTGTAGTTGTTGTGACCCATTTTCTCCCAGAGTAAATACCGCCACTCACGGTAGAGTGATTGCGAATACAAATAAGGCTATTTTTGAGTGATGTGTAAATTTTGTGACGTATAAGTAAGCGGGAAATTGTCTGCAGATGGGATAAGTAAGAAAAAGATGTATTTACATTGGTCGTTCAGAATTTCTCTCACATCACTTGCTTCACCCTAGTTTACTGTATGCATCCGCTAACCAGTATTTATTAGTTGCTCGTGGTAGATATATCTAACCAATCCGACAAATACGAGAAAAATCGTATATATATATATATATATATATATATATATATATATATATATATATCCATATATATATATATGACCACCACACTACGTAGTGTTTCATTTCCTGTCTTACTGAAATCAGAAAAATATAGCTGATAGGGAAACTGTAATATTGTTTACTCCGGTAATTTCAGTGACCAGGTGATGTAGTATAGAGCAAGCTACTAAGAAATACGATTTTTCGTAGACACCTATTTCCAAACTTATTGATTATATACCTAATGGTGTTTATTCATCTGTCTCTAGGCCACATTTGATGTGAAAGAGATTGATTATTAATTTTTACCACCTTCCAAATCGCGAAATTTCTTTGGTATCAGTCGTTTGTTTTTAAATGTTCCATTTGAAGACAAATCAAGCATGCTTACCAGCTAATGACAATAGACTGTCCGTAAACTTGGTGTTTACTGAATAATGATTTTTTGATAAGGATTTTCACAGGAAATTAATTAGGAATCTTTGTAGTTTCGAATTTCGCTATATTATATCATGGGGTTTCCTTGCAGTATGAGGTAAATGGGGATAATTAGCCGAAAAATGTCCGTTTCGTGGGCTGCCAAAACAGCCTAACTCTTTAGTGCGATTGTCACAGCTGTGACAATGTAAAACGTTTTGAATTAAATTGGAGTAATGTTGACAAATAGCCTTGGTGTAATCAATGGACTATTTCATATATTGTTAAGCCAGATTTAACTCTAATAAATGCAATGGAATTAACGCTTCCTAGGGAAGTTTCCACCATTTTTCATTCGGTACACTGCATATAACTGACATCCAAGTACTTAAACGTATAATATTGACTGACCGTGACTTGATTGCGACTGCTTGGCACACTCATTTTGCAACAGAGAAATAAGTTTTGTTCTGTCTTTTTGAAGAACATTTATTTGCCTTGATGCCTTTATTTTTATAACTTCATGTCATTATGTAAATTTAGTCCCCCTCGAAAATTTCATTGCAAAACTTAGCACATGCAGTGGAACATTAGTCTGTTTAATTTTTGCCATGAGAAGAGTTTAGAAGATCTACTTACTTATACATGACGTTACAGGACTGGACTACATCGACGCCTAGTTTAAAAATAGGAAGTGAAGTGGTAGAGCACGTTAACCGCTTCACTTATTTGGGAAGTACCATCAGCCCCAACGGGCTGATCTCTGACGAAATCTCAGCACGAATACAAGGGGCTCGTTTCGCATTTGCCAGTTTACGCCGACTCTGGCGTAGACAAGATGTTCGACTATCGACCAAAGGGCGGGTGTACTGCTCATCAGTCCGCTCCGTCCTCCTTTATGGTTGTGAGACCTGGCCACTGAGAGTGGAAGACATGAAAAGACTAGCTGTCTTTGATCATAGGTGCCTGCTCTCTATTCCCCGTATAAAGTGGCTTTATAAGGTGAGCAACATTGAGGTTAGGCGTAGAGTTCTAGGTAAACAGGGGAAATCTATCGACGAAGTCGTGAAGCTGCAAAGACTGAGATGGTTAGGAGATGTGTCACGTATGCCAAGCCATCGCCTCCCTCGACGAGCAATGTTAGCGGATATAGAGTCAGGCTGGAAAAAGTTAGAGGCGGTCAAACAAAAACTTGGCACCAGTCAATGAAATCCACAACAGTTAGCTTAAGCCAGCCACGTAGGAAGGTGTAGACTTCCAGGCTGGGGTCCTCGGGACGGTAAAAGTCTATGGTTGGAAACAATTGGTGACGGCTCAAAATCGTTCTCAGTGGCGCAGATGCATCCACTCCTTGTGACTTATGATTTCCAATGAAACTGCTTTGTTTTTCTTTATTACTCCTTTGTCTCACACCTATGCTCACTGTTTCTATTATGCTTTTCTTGTACTTTCTTCTCTTGCTTCGCGTGCTACACGGCGACGTGAACAGCCGCACATTTGTGCAAAGTTCTATGTCGAAAACAGACAGACAGACAGACATGACGCTAGGATTGCTATATCTAACCTCCTACCGTTTTTGAACTTTTAGGAATGCAGTCATTTCCCTGAAATATTGTTACTCAGTAATCATAACCTTGTCTTTTGAATAATAAGTATTCTCATTGTTTATTGGACTGTTAAAGACAACCAAAAATCTAGTTCACCATCATTGTGGGATCTGATATAAGTATAAATGTCATTCTCATTTTTATGTCTCTGGAATAGACACGTCGATCATTCTGCATCCCTACCGACCACTTATATCTATATAACTTGCCTCACTGTTATTAGAACTTTAGGGTATTCCCGCTCATACGATCTTGGTTTAAGGGGACTTGAGGATGTATATTCCATATTTCACAGGAACCCTACGTAAATTTTCTAGTATTCTTTCTCTAAGTGAGTAAACGTGTGGAGACTGTGAAATCTTTCTTGCTTGTATTGTAATTATTGCTCACATCGTTATTCATTTCATTGACAGTTCTTATAAAAATTTTACGGAATTCTGAGGAATTGTATTGCATTGTTTGTCTTATGTTTCATGTTTGGTAACAGAAGCCTTGCCCTTTTTGTTTAGGCTTAAAAGAAAGCCTTCATCAAAATTTGCTGGGGAAGATGCGATAAAATGTATCTGCTAGAAGGGTTTGCGGCAAAAGAGTGTATCCAAACTAAAGCCTACCGCCTCATTCCATTTCGCATTTCGACTTGGGCAGGCCTCTTTATTCATTCCGTCACTCCTAAGTCAGCTGAATTTCATTTAACACCGAGTTTAGGTGTGTATGTGTGTATGTGAAAAAGTTTCGGATATGTGGGTTTACTACCCACAGTGTAAGGTCTTATGTCAATAAGCTTTCCTACTGCTTTCATAAAATCTCAGTGTTTATAGTGTGAGAGCAGTGTAAGCCTTACACTGTTATGAGATTAATTCATATACAACTAACTTTACATTATCAGTACTGCACCTGGTATTTTTGCATATCAGACCAAATCAGTGAACCTTGTGAGTACACTCCGCTTCGACAGTCTAGTCGCAGAATGTTGACATTACTGAAGGACATTAATAAACCGGCTGAAAACTTCCCTTACGACGCAGAACGGCAATTAGAAACTTTACAGATTGTTATCTCATCTTATTTTTGACTAAACAGCCTCATTTAAAGTTTTTAGGTGTTAGTTTGCAGGGATTCGATTGGATACAGGTTTGATTATGAGCCGACAGCAGGGAGTACAAGTTTGGAACTCTTCATCAGTATGCACCTACCGGTTTTCGAACCCATAACCCTCAGGTCTCAAGGCAAACTCTTAGACCATTCAGCCACCGGGACACGATACGACGGCCTATGAATTCCAAGTTCTGTCAATCCGCATGTTGAGAGACTCAGGGGCAAGGCTTAAATAACACACATATATATATTTGTAAATGTTTTGGGCGTAACCTTCACGAGGCCTATCTGGTGGTTTAAGAAACTCATCATAGCTGAGTTGATAGTTTTAATTGTGAAAAAATTTTTGCAGTTACACCAAGCGGAGTGATTGAGGGAAGTTTTGTAATCTTAGATGAGTTTGTTCTGATAACTATAAATACGACTTTTTATCATCTCTCGTTGTGTTTCGTGTAATGAAAAGGCATCCAGTTGGGGAATATTTTTTGTTTCATGAATTTGGAATTTTATATCTTATTGAGCAATATAAAATAAAAGAAGTTTAGTGAAGGTTTTAGGCCTTTGAAGTTGTAAACCCTTACTAAAGGCTGAATAAAAACTTGTATTCTATCGTGTTGTAGGGTTCGATCCCCGGCTGATGACTCACTCCTTTACCTCGCTTACTAAGCCAGTAATAAGACTGCTGAAGATGGAAGGTTGGGCATGGGACTAGCAGCCACATCCCGTAAAAATAAACACCACTGCTACAGAAACTTCAAGTCTCTAGCTTGAAGCCCCCTATGTTCTACTGGGAAAACGTAAAGGAATAAAAAAGTATATTCTATCGTAGTAATATTCATCCATGATTAATCTATAATGGGAATGTATAGTTCGTGTCAAAAAAGCACTGGATTTCTATTTTGCTTGATGTATTCTTTTTATTTATATATTTTAGAATTGAAACTATCTGACCTTCTTAGGCAATTAAAGCACTTTTTAAATATGGCAACTGCTACAAAACCGGATATTAAAGGGACTTATCCTAGTTGGTTTGAAAATCTACATGCTGAAGGGAGAGCAGCTGAAGACTCAAGAAATCTGTCCTATGATCATAGACAGTTAGTCAGAGCAACACGTATTGAAACGGATATTAAGACAAAGTAAGTTTTACTTGTTATATCCTCCTTAACACACACACATATGCATACACACATCGAAACACAGGATATCTTGTCCCTCGATCTACAATATACATTTATTATTATTATTATGATACTAAAATGTCTTTGTAGTGTTTGAAAAAGTTATGCGATGTGTTAAACTTGAAAACAATTTATTCTGTGGAGGCTGTAGACTTTGCTTATTCTACATTAAATTGTTTATTAGATATATCACACAGTGAGTGACGATGTTTCGAATACAGCAGTTTACTATTGTTCATAATCATGTGAATTATGACTAAACAACTTTGAAAATTCCGTTTTCTATTTTTATCTATCCCTTCACTTATTCATAGTAGGGTAAGTGGAATTTTCCAAATGGTCGGAACAGATGTTGAATCACTTCTGTTGCACGTAATTTTAGTTGATTCGATAAATGAAGCTTCTGCCATCGATCTTTCTCTCCACCTTGTTAGATTAGAGTTAAGGACTGCCATCTTATCCCATCCTACTCTATGGTTGTGTGAAATTGTATTACAGTGCTATAGCCGAGCTACTTTTTAATTTTCTTATCTTGTTAGAGTTAACTAATCTAGATATTACTTGATTATTGGGCTTCACTGATCTGACTGATCCCGTTCTCTACTTTGACCTATGTATCTGACCTGAAGATCATCTCAGGGTAATAAATTAACTAAATTATATTATTTGGTGGACTCCTCGGGATACTTTGACCGACAAAGTTTGTTTCGAATTGAGTTTTTGTGGGTTTTGAATGCCACTTTTATTCCTGCCTGTATTGTTAAGAATTCTCCGAGATAAGGTTTCCGAGGTACCTTCTTTGCATGGAAGTATTACTGATGATTTAATTTCCTTATTGTTGATGTCATCATTCTGTGTATGCCTTTCGGGCATGTCGCCATTATTATTACTGTTACTGTTATTGACTAGGGAATATTTTTATGTATTACCAACCAATGGCGAATAAGTGTCTGTATACCCGCTTTACTCGCGATGCCATTGACCAGTCTCTTCAGCATGTGTCTAATTTGTCTCCATTTTCTTCGATGTATTTGTTGAGTAATAGGTTACCGATTGATGTGTTCGCAGGATTTTTTATTTTTATTTTTTTGATTACAGCTTAATTCCACACTGTATTTTCGGTACAAGTATGGAATTTTCAGCATGGATATCGGGAGCCCAAATTTTGCAGGCCGACCATAGATATCGGATGTGCGTCGGTAGGGGATCAAACCTCGGTCCATGTGCATGGTTGGCGAGAATCCTAACCACCGTGCCACCGACACAGTGTCACTGATCCTTTCCAGCTACACATATGGTCTTCAGTATGCATCATTTGAAGGCGACTTTGGATGAAAATCTGCAGTAACCAGTTGGGAATGCTTTTTGTGACGCGCCAAGTTTCTGACCCGTATAATAAAGAGCTGACTTAATATTGGTGTTGGAGTTCTGAATTTCTTTCTTTATACTGAGCGCGGCAAATTTCCAAACTGATTTCAGAGTGATGGAGGTCTGTTTCACTTTTCCTATTTTAGTTTTAACAGCCTCATCCATCCATCTGTAGTTGAATTGATGCTGCCTAGAAATAAGTGAAAGAAGTGACATCTTTCAAATTTCTCTTGTTGATTGTGATTGGTGCTGGCTGTTGTTGTTGCTGCTGATTGGTCGGTGGGTTATCTTCATCACCTCCTACCTCTTCTCTATGTTTACCTAGAGTCCTGTAGATTTTCAACTTTATATGATCTTAGACATAAACCATTCACGAAACCCAGACCACCTGGAGTCTTCTTATCAGCCCAACGTATTTCAGTGTACTCGCTCCCTTTCCATGGTCTGTCACATGATGCAGTCCATCACAGTTAGGAATATCGTTGGTGAGAGTAGTCAGTAGCCTTGTCTTACTTCTGTATTGACTTCAAAGGCTTTGTTGCATTTTCTGCCATAGACCACCTAGAGCGTGTCATTGTCATATGGTTTTTCAGTGAGTTTGATAAAGATTTGGGGTACTCCCTAATGTTGAAGGAGTTTCTAAATTACTTATCGGTAGGCCGTGTCGAAGGTCTTTTCAAAGTCGATGAAGTTGTTAAGATTGAAATTTGACTACTATTCTATGCTTTGTTCGAGGAAGATGCATAGAATTACCATTTGATGAGTACATGATTAATTTTCCTGAATCTAGCTTGTTCTGCATCCAGAGCGTCCTTTAGTCTTTCCGCTCAAAGGTGTAGTGTGCTTACTTCATTAGGTGAATTAGAATTTCATTAATCAAGGTTTTTCTCAAGAAAAACTATGGAAGTTAAGAAAGGTATCTTTTTTCATACGAATCATAATGAAAATTAGTTTCATATCATTAGTTTTTCAAATGGAATGCTAATAAAATAGTCAAGTACTACTTAATATTGTTATAAGTAGTTGCAGAATACTTTCTGCATTTATTCTATGCATAGCTGAAATGATAGATAATATCCATAATAACAGAAATATTATCAGTGATAATAAGCGGACAGCCTTGTTTTATTCATGTTGGTTTTCACTAAGAAGACTGTACTAAGCTTTCATTTATGAACCATATGGCATGTAACGTTTCCACATTTGTTTTTATTCCCTTGGGTTCCGCGAGTGAAGCGCTTAGGGTTTCGACAATACATCTCCACTTTGTCCTGTTTTTTATGCCGTCTTCTTCAGATGGGTCCACGATTAATCATAATCTTTCATCTCCTCTTCACATGATCTCCTCCATGTCACCCTCGCATTGACGACCCACTCGTCGCTTTCCATTTGGATTCCACTGGAGCAACAACCTGCAGTATCCGTGATATTATTCGACGGTTTCCTGAATGTATGCCTGATTCAACTCCATTTATCTCCTAGATTATTGTTGTGCGATCGGATCTTGGTTGGTTTGTTCCACTGAAGAGTTGCTAGGTCTTTCTGGCAAGCCGACCGGCCATTTAATCTTCAATATGGAGCCATCGAAGGCAGCTGTTGATAGAAGTCTGCAGTGACCTATTGGATATCACTTTCATGACACGCTAGTCAAGTTTCTGACCCGTATAGAAGAACTGACTGATTTCACATTTGTGTTGAAAATCCGTATCTTGTTCTTTATGCTGAGGTAGAGTGCTGAAGATTTCCAAACTGATATCACATTGATGAAGGTGTATCTCGCTTTTCCGATTCTGGCTCGCCTTGATATTTTCATTCGTGCTGTCACCTGCAGTTGAAATGATGCGGTCTAGATAGGTGAAAGAAGTAACCTCTTTCAAATCTCTCCCGTTGATAGTGATTGGTGTTGATTGTTGTTGTTGTTGAGGTTCGTTGGTTATTCTCATCACTTCCGTCTTCCCTATGTGTTCACCTGAAGTCCTGTCTTTGCTGCCTCTTCAGCCAGTTTGTTGGTTTTCGCCTGTCTGTAAGTCTTTGAGCTTGTGTAACATCAGACATATATCATCCACACACGAAATGCAGATCTTATAGAGTCTTCTTATCGGTCAGTGCAGTGTATTTCTGTTTTCTGGCTTCCAGCATACAGTCTGACGTAAAATCCATTGCACTACAATTCAGAATATCGTCGGTGATAATAAGCAGACAGTCTTGTCTTATCTCTGACTTCAAACTCTTCGCTGAGTTTTCCGTTGTGGACTACTGACACGTGGCATTGTCATATAGCCATTTGTTGAATGGAGTTGATAAAGACTTGAGGTACTTCTTAGTGTTGAATTAGTTTCCACCCTACTTCTCGGTCAACGATGTCTAAAGCCTTTTCGAAGTCGTTGAAGTTGTTTAGGTAGAGGTTTGACTGCCATTCTATGCTTTGTTCGATGATACTAAGGCATAGATTTGCGATTCGATCAGTACATGATTAAATCTTCTTGAATTTGGCTTGTTCTGGTCGGTGGAGCGGAGTTCTGTATCCAGTGCATCCTTTATTCCCTCCAGGGTGATGCGACTTATTATTTTACTTGGTGTGAGTGGACAACAACATGATTCCACGTCAGTTCTTGCAAAGGCCTAACTGGGTCGCCCTTTTTTGACCGTTTGACGAGGTAGCCTTACTTCCAGTCGGAAGGTATCTTTCTTTCCTTCCAAACCTTTTGCAATAATGGCGTGAGCACATCTGTCACAGTCTCTGGGTCTGTTTTCAGTGCATTGGGAGTGGGGAATTCCGTCTGGTCCTACTGTTTTCCCTGTTGGCTTTCAGTAATTTGATCGCATTCAGGATTTCTGCTTTCGTTGGAGGAAGGCAGTTCTGTGCGTGTTGTTGTTGTTGTTAGTGGTGCATTTCTGGGTGAGTTGGAGGTGATGGTCCATTCATATAATTCGTGGATAAAGCTAATACAGATCTGTCAGGCACTTTTGAAATTATTTCATGATTATCATTACCGTTATGTATTTCAAGAATTAAACAGATGCCAGTATAGTCAAACATATAAATGCTTTTATTTTATTTTTTGTCAATTAGATATGATCAATTAGATACAAATAATCGTCTATCTGATCGTATTTGGACTGTACGTCAATGGCGCGATGAATTGATCAATCAGTTGAATCGACTTAAAGAACGTATGACACATTTACGGGATGCTAAACACGTGACAGAAGAATTTATAGTTAAACTGAATGACACACTGGGTGTTAATACAGAATCATTGACAAATTTAGATCGTAGACGAAATGGTGAAAATATTGATGATCCAGTGTTTCAGGAATTGAATAAAGTAAGCATTATACAAGGATGCCCATTATCCCCATTTCTATTCAACTTCATCATAGATATACTAATGGACTTAACTCTAACTCACTTCAGCGACTCAGGAATTGACTTGCTACCAGGGAATGATCTCGTTGACTTAGAACATGCAGATGATATAGTCCTTCTAGGCGAGGACGCTGTCAAAATCCAGCAGAGTCTTCTAAACACCTTGAGCTGCAATCTACGAATGTTTGGCATGCGATTTGCTCCCGGCAAATGAAAGATGATGGTACAGGACTGGACTACACCCACTCTTAGATTAGAAATAGGAAGTGAAGTGGTAGAGCTCGTTGACCGCTTCACTTACTTGGGAAGTACCATCAGCCCCAACGGGTTGATCTCTGACGAAATTTCAGCACGGATATAGAGGGCTAGTTTCGCAAATGCCAGTTTACACTGTCTTTGGCGTATAAGTGATATTTGGCTGGCTATCGAACAAAGGGTGGGTGTACTGCTCATCAGTCCACTCTGTCCTTCTTTATGGCTGTGAGGGAGACCTGGCCATTGAGAGTGGAAGACATGAAAAGATTAGCTGTCTTTGATCATAGGTGCCTGCGTTCTATCTCCCGTGTGCAGTGGTATAATAAGATGAGCAATATTGCTGTTAGGCATCGGTTGAATGTTAGGTAAGGAGGGGAGATCAATTGACGAGGTTGTGAAGTTACATCGACTGAAATGGTTAGGACATGTGTTACGTATGCCTAGTCATCGCCTTTCTCGACAATGGGCAATGTTAGCTGACATAGGATTGGTGAGGCTGGAAAAGAGCCAACGGTGGTCAAACCAAAACATGGCACCAGTCAATGAAATCTACAACAGTCAGTCTAAGCCACGTAGGAAGGTGTAGACTTCCTGGTTGGGTTCCTCAGGACGGTAAAAACCAATGGTCGGAAACAATTAGTGATATGACTCAAAATCGTTCTCAACGGCTAGCGCAGATGCATCCACTCCTTGTGACTTACGATTTCCAATGAAACTGTTTTGTTCTTCGTTATAACTCTTCCTTTGTCCCACACCTCTGTTTACTGTCTCTAATATGCATTTCTTGTACTTTCTTCTGTTGCTTTGTGTGCTACAAGGAGGGAGTGTGGCGACTTGAACTGGTGCACATATGTGCAAATTTCTATTTCGAAACACAGACAGACAGACAATTCATTTCCATTATCACTGTCATCATCATTACTTATTTTATTCTTTTGAGTTCTCAGTAGAACACGAGGAGCTTCAAATTTGAGTTTTTTTGAAGTTTCAATAGCAATGGGTGTAGGGTTGCTAGTTTTACTCTCAACTTTCCCTCATTGCCAGGATTACTGCTGGATAAGTGAGGTGAAGGAGTGCATGGACCGGGGATTGAACCTCCGATCATGTGAGGTGATATGGTTAGACAGCATTCTACCTCGGCACAGGGGCACAGAAAATAGGTAAGTGTAACTTAATTGAAGTCATAAATGGAAGTCTTAAGGGACTCTAAGCATAATAAAGTTATCATTGTTATAATATAATTATTCCCCTGGGTTCTGAGTGGAACACAAGGCTTCAACAGGACGTCTCCAATTGTTCCTGTCCTCTGAAAGTTTTCTTCATCTGGCTGCACGATTGCTCATAGACTCTTAGCTTCTCATCACACAACCTCCTCCATGCCACCCTTGTACCAATACCTAACTCGTTATTTCACAATACGGTCTAATTACAGGGTCTAGCGCACCCAACGGTCTCTTCAGCGTGTGTCCTATTCATCCATACTGCCTTCAGCAGATTTGTTGGGTAATAGGCTGTCGGTTAGTTCGTAGTTCTAAAGGATGCAGTCATATAGATTAGATGGAGAAGATTTGTAGCTCTGGTGGATGATTTTGATGTAGTTTTGTTTTCTAAGCTGAATAGTTAATTTGCCAAGCTTTCATTATTTCCCTCATACTGGTCGATATCATCAGTGCATGCTTCAGTTTGAATTGAAGGGAACTTTTAGATTTCTTCACGAGTTTACTAGTCATCTGGCCTGATGATTGGTTGTTTTTGTGTGTTTTCACACCCTCTAGGTTACTTATATTGGTAGTATGGGGTTGATTGCTTCCTTGACCTGAAGTTTGATCCTTTGTGTGTATGTGAGATTTTCCCCTTGTCGATTGGTGAATTTTGTCTGTGTCAGCGTGTCTATTGATTAACGATTCACTGGAATACCAGGTTACTAAAAAAAATCCTCTAGCATTCTCGGTGTTTGCTCTGTCTAATATTTGAACGTCGTTTGTCCCAGCCAAAATGATGTCCGTTCAAATACCGGAAATGAAAGCTTCGTAAATAAACCATCCAGCTAGCTCATAGAACACAACAACATCAAAAAGAGATCACGTATAAATGGGATTTTACAGTTTAGTGGTTGAATTCACAGAAAAGAGAGCTTCATTGCTGAACACCACTTGTTCTGTTCCTTTCATTAATGTATGGATGGAGAATATGAATTATGAATTGTCTAAGTAAACCAAGGTGAGTATCTGGTAACTATGTTTGTGTTATGCACTCGTCGCCAAGTTAGTGCTATGTACTGGTCGAGAATTTAATAGTCCTGACGCAAGAAAGACGGAAATCAGAAGACCACTAGGTTTGCGATGATACTTCTATTTTCCAAACACCAGGAGAATCAAAGTCACACAAGTGTGTGAGAGCAAAATATATATGAATGTCCGAACAAGTGTGTGAGCGGATATTCAAAATGAACAAATCAATAGACAGTCTTAACGTGATTGGCTAATTATAATGGAGTATCGATCCATATATACGTAGAGAAATATAACAGACTGTCAAACAACACACATATTATATGGATATATGTCACCAAGAACAGACTGTCAACAAACACACATATTATTTATAATATAAGGGGAATATACATTGTTAAAGGAGACAGGTTCATCAAAGTGAAATGGTCACAGACTAAGAGAGCAACAGAAAGAGAGACCACCATACACACACACACATATATATAGATACATATCATCTTTCACTTCAGAAGAATTCATATATGCAAAGACAGAAAGGCATCTGGTTGGACCACAGAACGATATCAATTAGAGAACCAGTGAAAACCAACACGGAGTATTTTACGCTGTTTCGTCTCGGTCTGGGACTCATCGACAGAACGCAACCATCAGATTTCAAACCCAGGACCTTCCGGTTACAAGGAAAGCTCGCAGACTATTCAGCCACTGAGACTCGACTCCTCACTAGCCATCCCATGAATTTTAACTCCTACCGATTCGTGATTTTAGCGCGACCACTTACAAATGTCATCGGCGAGTGTTTTTCCTCACGCCGATAGGATGGACACCCCCCCAGGGAACCACATCCTGTAGCCCGGTGGGTAAGTATTCCAGATGAACCCCACACTAGGACCAAACAACTGTCTAGTACTCCCTGGTTTACAAAGGTTCTCTAACTGATATCAACCCGCAGTCAAACGTGAAAAAAAAATCAAATCCCTACAAACCAACTCTTGAAAATTCTACGTGTGAAAAATTAGGAATTGTCTTACATAATCAAAAGGGTTGACAACTAATTAGCTGAGTAATGAATAATCATTTAGAAATGACTGGCATTAGAAGTTATCTGAATGATTTCGATTCCTTACTCAATGCGTCTTCAATGCATATACTGTAGATTCTCATCGTTCTTTGTTGCATCTCTTCGTCTCACCTCTTCTACACATGTTGCTATTCAACAAAACGTCATAGACAAGATTCAACTATTGGCAACTTTAATGTGTATTCACCATTTCACCCGCTCTCGTACCAGCAGGACATTGTCTCGACACGCCCATAAACCCTCATCAACATGGTTGTTAAAACGAGAACGTAGAACTGTCAACAGCTAAGTTATAGAACATATGATTCCTTCTATCAAGCAACATAAGCAGAGACCTCTTTCAAAATCATATACAAAGTACGACAAAGCGGTTAGAAAGGATTTCATCTAGATGTCTTTCATACAGCTGAAGCTCTAGAGGTCCTTAAAAGAAAACCTAAACTTTGTGTTCAGAAAAGTTTTCTCTTCCAGTCTCTTGTATCCCCATGGCTTTAGTAGTATTGTGTTGGTGTGATACAGACAATGTGTGCCAAAGGAATGTTATTCTCACATGTTCCCACAGTTCAAATCGGCATTAACAACAGAATACGATATATTTATTGGAATATTCTATTTCTTGTCGTTTGATGTAAGCCCAAATCACACGCTCAGTGATTGGTTAACGAATATAAACTGTAGATATATAAACAGCCATTTGATCATTTGAAAATATGCCTTGGCTTCCGTGTTTTGCCTTCTGTTGTTGCACTTTTTCTTCTTTTTCCTTTTTCTCTTCGGCTGATGCCTTTCTGAATAGCTGTATACTTAATTCTATGTCGTCCGCTATTTATTTTGAGCAATTCATCTTCAATCTTTTGTTCTCTTATCCTCCAATGTCAACCATTTCCAAACGAGAATTTATTACTCAGCTAATTAGTAGTTGTCAACTCTTTTGATTACGTAAGACCAAACCTAATTTTGCAAACTGATATGCATCTATATATATATATATATATATATATATATATATGTATGGTGGTCTCTCTTTCTGTTTGCTCGCTTAGTCTGTGACCATTTCACTTTGATGAACCTGTCTCCTTTAACAATGTATATTCCCCTTATATTATATATAGTATGTGTGTTTGTTGACAGTCTGGTCTTGGTGACATATATCCATATAATATGTGTGTTGTTTGACAGTCTGTTATATTTCGCTATGTATATATGGATCGATACTCCATTATAATTAGCCAATCATGTTAAGACTGTCTATTGATTTGTTCACTCACTTGTTCGGACATTCATATATATTTTGCTCTCACATACTTGTGTGATATATTTGATTCTCCTGGTGTTTGGAATATAGAAGTATCATTGCAAACCTAGTGGTCTTCTGATTTCCGTCTTTCTTGCGTCAGGACTATTAAATTCTCGACCAGTACATAGCAATAATTTGGTGACGAGTGAATAACAATTTGGCGACGGGGAAAATTACTATTAACCACTCAGCAGCAGCAACATAACAATTTGGCGACGGGGAAAACTATGGATCCTTCTAAATTGGAATTATTGTTTGAACGACAAATGAAATTAATGGAAATGTTCGTCAACCAACAGACTGGTCCAACTTCACCTTCAAGCAATCTGAATCATACCATGCTACCATCTGTCGACGGAATTGTGAATAGTATTTCAGAGTTCAATTATAATCCAGATGCGAATGTCACTTTTGACACATGGTATCAACGATATGAGGATTTATTCACTGTTGATCTCGCCTCACAAGACGATGCTTGGAAGGTGCGAGTGTTATTACGTAAATTGGGTCCCGCAGAATATGAGAGGTACTGCAACCTAATTTTACCCCCAAAACCACGTGACAAGTGTTTCGATGATACAATAAAGCTGCTGCGTGAACATTTTGGAGACCACTCCTCATTATTCAGCATACGTTATCGTTTCCTCAAGCTGACAATGAATGAAAATGATGATTTTCTTACTCACGTTGGCACAGTCAACCGAGAATGTGAGAGATTTCGACTCAGGTCCTTAACAGGTGGCCAATTCAAAGCCTTGATTCTCATATGCAGTCTTCAATCTCCTCGTTTCACAGATATCCGAACTCGACTGCTCGATCAGCTGGAACAAAATCCCAAGTTAACATTACATGACATAGGTGATGAATATCAACGGCTGATTAATTTGCAGAAAGACACACACCTGGTCGAATCAACACCTTCGAGAAGCTCTGATATTGATGCATTACGAAAGAGCAAAAATCTCTCATCATCCAGTCCTAACCCACCTACTTCTTCTAATGTTCCGCGTAAATCTACACATACTCGTCCAACTTCACAAAATACTGCAAAGAAGACCCCACCATCACCATGCTGGCATTGTGGCGCTTGGCACTTTGTAAAGTCCTGTCCATACAAAAATCATCGTTGCAGCAAGTGCAAAATCATTGGTCATAAAAATGGATTTTGCCAGCCACGCAAACTCAGATATCAAAATACAGCGGCATACAGTGGCATATTCGAAGTCCTTACGTGAGGTAATGAGGAACTGTGTATAGCATTGTGAGTCAGTCATGAGAGGGTGCTCAATTTCCAGAGTTGACAAGGCGTTCGACGGTGGAGCTACTCGTATTCTTCTTTTCTCCTCTGACTACAGAGGCTGCATAGTGTTGCAGAATGCGTTTGCGGAATTGAAGTTGTGTTCCCCTGAAACAAATAACCTGATAAATACACGCTGGGGTGGCCGAAAGCCTTAACACACTTGACTAGGTAAGGATTTTGCTGGGGAATCTGATTTGTAAGGTGGCCGCATGAAATGTCTCCTTCTGCAGACATTTAGAAAGTTGGTACCGAAGGATTTCCGTTCCAGTGTCACATTTTGAACTCCACGTCCATGAAGAGAGTTTTCTCACGAATAGTTGTGATTTTCGATGACAGAGGTGTTTCTCTCACATGTTAGTTGATGAATTTGTCAGTATTTGATTATTGGTCTTACGAATTCTTCGTTAAATGTAAATACGATTACACAGCAGTTTTTGAAAATGAATCGTCGAAAAGATAATTTTTTCGGGTGATATATCATCGTTAACATAGATGCTTATTTGACAGAAGACTTTATTTTCTTGACACATTTTACAATTTTCACAGTTTAAAACAGTTAGTTCCCTTTATGAATTTAGATAATGCAATAAGAAGACGTAATTTGTCTGAATCGTGTAATGTGTATTTGTGCAATAGATTTCGAACAATCTGATGACACACGGACTTGTCATAGGAAAATATATGAAATTAATAAAGAGTTAAGAGGTGAGAAAATAGACTTAAGTCAAGTTGAAAGGACATATTGAAGGTCAAAATAACCGTGAAGACCACTAAACCAAATAGCAGAGGTAATAGTACATCTACCCTGTCTGGTATCAAAACAAAGTTTATGAAGGAAGGAAGGAAGGTTTAATGTGATGACAAATTGTTGCTTTGAACGCATAAAGCTGGTTTCAACTTCATAATTTTCAGCTACGGCTTCCACAAACTTTAAGATACGCCCCAAACATGTTTTATGGATTTATAGGTTTAAACAATGTGTAAACATCAATTTTATGTCCTGTCTCCTCTATAATATGTTTCGCAATAGAGGAGCTAGGTCGTCTGTTCTCATCATTAAAGGGTTCTGAGGATTCTATTTGCTTCTGAAGCCAGCCCTATTTGCAGAGATCGATGAGTCCTCCCTATGTATGTGTGGTCACACGTACATTCAAATTGGTAAATACAGTGGGAGGATGTGACATCAGTTTTCACAAGTTCTAAGGGTTTAGATGGATGAATATACTGGCTTCACATTCTCATTTATTACTGATATTAGCTGCATATAAGGTCTTCTGTAACTACAACAGCGTTCAATCTTTGTCTAGTTGTCAATCTGCTGTCATCACCCATATACAATAGCTTGATGTACACGTCTTTCTTAGCGGCGAGTTGGAGAATGGGTCTTGGTTTTCTGACTACTTTGTATCTCCAGATAAACTTGTCTGGATAATTGTTATCAACCAGAGTTTGTGTCAGTTTCCTTTCTTCCTCATCAAGTTTGTCTTCAGTGGATATTCGTTGGATTCTAATGAAGAGGCACCTTACTAAGGCTTTTTTGTACCAAACAGGGCAGAAACTGTGGTAACTAAGATACCGTCCTCTATAAATAGATCTGTTTATTGATCTATCAAGCCGTCAGTTGACTAAGTGATATGTCTAAGAAAGATAAACACTTATCTTCCTCTTCCACAGATGTAAGTAATATGCTATTCTGAACTTCCTTCATTCGATTTAAAATTGAGGTGGCAGAACAAGATTCATCACTTATGATTACGATATCATGTACATACCTTCTATAAAGTGTCACATTTTCGATTAAATCCTCCGATAAATTCTCAATGTACGACATATAAATATCTGCTAAAAGGGACCGTAATGGATTTTCAAAGTACCTACAGACAAAAAATATATCTATCGTGGCTCATTTAGCTCAGAGGATAATGCTTGGGCATTTAAAATAATTAGGTTTCAGTTCTGATTAAGATTTTCGTCTCAGTCCTAACTGATTTTCTAATAACTGTTAATATTAACTATACTAGTGTACATTTTACTCGAGGAGTTGATTCACTTACCAAAGTAATATGAGACTGTTTAATTTAAATTTTCAAATAATCGATTTTCCCGCCTTTATTTTTTAAATGTTCAGTAGCTGCTTTTGATAAATTAAAACAAGGAAAAGGTTGCAAAATTGGCTATACAATTATTGCTTAATATTGATTATTATTTGGTCACTATCTTTTTTTGTTTTGTTTCTTTTTGTTTTAATAATTAAGGAACGTGCTTTACTGATAGATTTAAAAAAAGATCTTCAATTACAAATTGATGACGCATTTCATATGCTCAATGAAATGAGTAATGCAGCCAAGGCCTTTTATTCAGATATTGCTAATAAAAATGATGCAATGCATATTGATATTGATGCATACAATATGAATGAAAAGTCATCTGGTGTTGGTTACAAACCATTTTATGATCGATTACCAGAGAAGTGAGTAAGCTAGTTATTCAAAGTGTGTGTATGTATGTATGTGTATGTGAGAGAGACCATGAGTGTATGCACATTATTCATCAATATGTGTCTGACCATGTCGATGGCTTCTTCTCTGCCTTGAATGTTATCGTAATCAGAAGCTACTGATATAAGTGACCGTGAACTATCTTCTTCCAGTATTCATTTACTTCCCTTTTTCGCATTCATCCAACTTCTTGCTGTTGGCAAAGTAGTGGACTAATGAACTGAAACATATTTTCATCGTCTGACTTTGCACAGATATCTAAGAGTTCAAGTTGCCACCCGGACTGTATGAAAGTACACATAAAGATAATAAACATAGAGGAAGGGAATTCCATTTTGGGTAAATTTTGTTTTGATAAAGTCTCACAGGATTATACAGTAATGTTTACTGATGACCACGTTTCGAGCACAATTTATTACTGCTCATAATCATATCAAGGTAATCATACGACTTCCTAACTTCATTTATATAGTTCCATTATTTTTCACTTGATTTGATTGGTAGCAGTATTTTCTATATTTCAGGTATGAGTGATGAGTCATTCCTGTTGCATGTGTTTGGTGTAGACTCTATGAACTAGTCAGGATACAGTAATCAACCTCTCTCTCCACCTACCTAGATTACTTTTTAGAATTTAACCCTCTCCCACCATGCTATTGCGTGGTTGTGTGTTAATGCATGCATTGCAATTGCTGAGCGTTTTTCTAAATTACTTATCTTCACCGGTGGGATCAACCATTCTTACCTTAGCTAAATTCTTATGTTCTGATAATCTGACCACCCCTTCCCTGACCTGATAGTTTGACCTATGTAGTTGACCTCAACCACAATCATTGCAGGGTATTTTCTAAATTATATTATTTTGATTGTATGGAGGATTTCATCATGAGCTGACATCAATTAGAAAACCATTGGAAAATCACCTGGGAGTACTGGACAGCTGTTTCGTCAGACTAGTTTGGGACTCTTCATCAGTACGCACCCACCGCAGGGGTTCGAACCCTGAACCTTCTGGTTACAAGGCAAGTGACCTCGTAGACTATTGAGCCACTGGGACCCGATCCAATGGTTCCTTAATTCTAACTTCTGCTAATTCATGTATATATATATGATTTTGTCTAATTGAATCCTTGTTCATCGAATCTACACCCGAAAACATGAGCAATAAATTGTGCTCGAAACGTCATTAGTAAACATTACTGTATAACACTGTGAGACTTTATCAAAACGAAGTTTACCCATAATGGAATTACACTCTCCCACAGTGCACAAGTTTTATTCATATATCTTAGGAAAGGAATGTAGTAAATCTGCAATAAATAAAAATATACGGGAGAGATAAATAAATATGTAGAGAATAATAACGATTTTATAGATTTCTGAGATCCCAAAGAGTGAACGCATCTGTGCCAGTGAGAATTGCTTCCAGAGGTTCCACCTCCTGCCGACGCATACTCGATACCAATGGTCGGCCTGCTAAATTTGGGCTACTGATATCACATGCTAAAAATTCCATACTTGTACCGAAAATACAGTGTGGAATCAAGCTATAATAAAAAAATCAATAGTCTTCATATATTGATTCTTAGTGTCGCTAGAATCCTCAAGTCTGTGTGAAGATGAACAGCACTCAGCATGAAAAACAAGATACGAATTTTCAACTCTAATATGAAATCAGTGCTACTATACGGATCAGAGAATTGGCACCGCGTCACGAAGAGCACTTCGAACTACTACTACAGATCTTCATCAACAGCTGTCTTCGCTGAATACTATTCAAGATCAGATAGCCGGCCAGAAAAGATCAGCAACACAGAGGGATCTCTGTGGACGATGTACCAACCGAGCAGAAACCGATTTTGCACCAAATATGCAGGAAGAAATATAGGAGGACTGGCCATACTCTGAGAAAACAAACCATCAAGTGAATGACATTACACATTAGGCCATCGCTCGGGTGGAAGCCGACGTAATGTGAAGCGGCAAGTTGGTCATCAGTGCGAGGGTGACATGGAGGAGGAGAAGGGGGTTGGTTATGTGAAGAGGAGATGAAAGCATGTGGACAGACGTGGAGCCAGGTGATGAAAACGTTGGCTGAGAAACGAAGGGAATGAAGACGTGCGACTGAAGCCGTATATTCATCTAGGAACTGAAGGAAATAATAGTAATATATAATTAGAATCCTAGCGGAGTCGATACCTCTACCTGGCTGTGAAAGTAACAATCAAAGACTTCATGGTCAGTTGCCTTGATATACCATTGTTGGTATTTGTAGAGTTTTTATGAAATTACATAGACATAAATACACTTTAGGTGAATAGATTTCCACATTTCCCTTTACGAATTTTGACAGAACAATAAGAAGACGTAATTCATCGAACATGCGGGTCATACAAGTACTTGTAATAAGCATTTATATGGGAGAGAACAGTGCATAAATGATTACGATATAGTAAAGTGGTGGATGGTGGCTAGCTGTGGAATCTAGGATGTGCATTTCGTCCCACTTGGGACTTGTCTTCCAGCTGGATTCATCTACATTCCCCAGTGAGTGATGGTGTTCCCGCCAACGAGGCTCGAACCCAGTATCCATAGTTTTAAACGCCAAAGCTTTATCCACTAGACCACTTGGGCCACGGTAGCCACCTCTTGTGCAACGGGTCTTATTCATTATTTAATTCAGTTTCGAGTTTCCCGTCGATTGATTGAACCGAAGTACTTGGTCGAACTGTTTACATGTTGAGGTCAAAGGCGAGGTAGGGAGATGACGTTAGAATACGCGATAAGAAAAAATAGAAGAGAAAAACGGGGTGGAAATATTATGAATTAGGTTGAACGGTAGTTCTAAAATTAGACTACCGAGGTAGCTTCAAAGTAATGCCAAATAATTTTTGAACAAAGAAAGAGGTTTAGGACTTTTTATGAGACCCAAACTTGTTTTAAAGACATTCTTGAAACCAACTTTGTGACCCATCTCTATTTATGTGCTTTGTAATAAATGATGTTGGACACGCCTATTTTTAGGACCAGTAGTTGTATCCGGTGATGGTATTTACTGTTTCAGCCATTTTGGAATGTTAACTGGTGTAAATAATTAATATGACCTATTGCACAAGAGGTGGCTGCCGTGGTCCAAGTGGTCTAGTGGATAACGCTTTAGCGTTCAAAACTAGGAACACTGGGTTCCAGACTCGGTGGTGGGAACATCATCACTTACCGTGGAATGGGAAACGAGTCCCAAATAGGAGAAAATGCGTGTTATCCTGGGTTCCACTGCTAGTCACCATCCACCAATTAGATTTACCTGTCTGTTTGTCTGTCTATCCATCTATCTACCTATCTGTCTGTCTGTCTATCTCTCTATCTTAATGTACAGTTCATTAGATTTACAAACATGGGAGGATATTAGTCGTAAAACATTGGACAATGCTAAAGCAGCTATTCTTAAAGGTGGTGATCTATTGCATAAATTACATAATGGTTTACATATGGCAATGAATCGTATGGCTAATCAAGCTGATCAAGTCAATGGTGTATTACGCATGAGAATACATGATACTCTAAGAGCATTACGTGAAGTAGAATATCAACTTAAGGCTGTAAGTACTATTCGGTATTATTATTATTCGTATATTTTTTATTTTCTTATTTATTATCATTATTTCCTTGCGTCCGATTTCACCTTATTCTTTGAGGTTCTTGTTTATCTTGTAACAACAGAAGACAAGGGCGAAGCAACAGATCGTTTTATTATAAAAATCAACACGTATTTATATATATTTCACATACATTATTATAGCTTATGAAAGTGGAAAAGCGCAGTCATCTGATTGGTTGCAGACAAACGCAGGCTTCTGATTGGTTGTTTCGGGATTCCTTGACAAATAGAGTTCTCTATCTGCGAATCATATTTTGCCACGTTAACATTGCTGTGATTGGTTGTTGAATCAGCCTTGTTCATATTTTCTCACGGCCCATATTAGTGACCTAGACATTAACGTAGATTAGTGTCAACCAATCGGCTAGCAGCCTGCTCTCACCACAATCTGACCATACGATTACCCATTAACTTTCATCTCCTCCTCGTCAAACGATCTCTTCCATGTCACACTTGGTAAAACTCCCAACTTGCTGTTTCCCACTCGGGTTCCAGAACGAGTAATGAACCAGACTGGCGCGTTATGTCACTCAGCCATCTCCTCAGTGGTGTGTGTGTGTGTGTCCATTCCATCTCTATTTTCTTCTGTATATGTGTTGAACAATTTTGTTGTTGGTTTGTTTGTTCGTTCATAGAGTTTCCTGTTTGATAATACTTTCTAACTAGCCATCTGATTTTGATAACGGAGCCAGTCAAGGCATCTGTTTATGAAAGTTTGCAGTAGATTCATTATACATAAGATTTTATTTTGATGAATCACACAGTTTTATGCAGTAATATATTTACTGATGACCACGTTTCAAGCACAAACTGTTGTCACTCATAATCATAACAAACAGCTCACTCGTACAACTTTCTTGCTTCATTTATATACATAAAGTGGAACTGATAATTAGAAATTTGAATAAAAATCAGTATAGGATAATATACATTCAGAAATAATAATATGAGTGTTATCAGTCCATTCCAAGCAAGATACTAAGTCGCATCATCCTGGAGAGGATCAAACAAGCCCTAGATGAAAAACTTCGTCCGGAACAGGCCGGATTCAGGAGAAACAAATCATGTATTGATCAAATCGCCACACTAAGGATCATCATTGAACAAAGCTTGGAATGGCAGTAACCTCTCTATCTCAACTTCATCGACTTTGAAAAGGCCTTCGACAGCACAGCGTCGATCGAGAGGTCATTTGGCAACTACTTCGCTACTACCAAGGGGTCCCATCGACAATTATACATCTCATCCAACAGTTATACGACAATGCTGCATGCCAAGTAATCCACAACGGGAAACTTACGGAAGCCTTCGAAGTGAGGACGGGAGTGAGGCAAGGCTGTCTACTATCACCAATGATCTTCCTGATTGCAATTGATTGGATAATGCGACAGACAACGGGCAGTGAGGAAACAGGCATAAAGTGGACTGACACAAAAGACTTGGAGGATCTGGATTGGGTTTCGCCGATGATATATGTCTGATTTCCCATAAACTGGAAGATATGCAAGTGAAAAGTAACAAGTTGGCAGAAGAAGCATCAAAGATAGGACTTCACGTGAACATAGATAAAACAGAGATGATGAAGATTCCTAGCCAACATCAACAGCAACAACAACAACAGACAACAATCAGCATAAGTGAGAAGAACCTGAAAGAAACAACCTCCTTCACCTACCTGGGAAGCATCGTCTCAACTACAGGCGGAACTGACGAGGACATCAAAGCCAGAATCGGAAAAGCAAGACAAGCTTTCATTACTCTCAAATCTGTGTGGAGGTCAACAGCACTCAGCATCAAAAATAAGATCCGGATTTTCAACTCCAATGTGAAGTCAGTGCTACTATACGGATCAGAGACTTGGCCAGCGTGACATAAAGAGCACCTCAAACAAACTACAGACTTTCATTAACAACAGTTGTCTTCGCTCAATACTCAAGATCAGATGGCCAGAAAATATCAGCAACAGGGATCTCTGGCAATGAGCAAACCAACCCAGCAGGAACCGATTGTGAAACAAATAGGCAGAAAGAAATGGAGATGGATTGGCCATACGCTGAGGAAACCATCAAGTGACATCACTAGACAAGCCATTGCTCGAGTGGAACCCGAAAGGGAGGCGGCGAGTTGGTCGTCAGTGTGAGGGTGACTTGGAGAAGGTCATGCGAGGAGGAGATGAAAGCATGTGGACAGACCTGGAGCAGGGTGAAAAAGTTGTCAGGAAACCGAAGGCAGTGGAGGTGCGCAGCTGAAGCCCTCTGTTCCTCTAGGAACTAAAGGATACAATAATAATAATAATCAGTCAAATAGAATCAGATGGGAAATAAGGTGATTTTTACAGTAAAAATAAGTAACTTGTTAGAATGTTATGATGTACGTGAATTGAAATAGAACTTCATGATTATTTATTATCCTATTCTGATTTGACTGGTAATAGTATCTTCCATGTCTCTGGTATTTGCCTTGAGTCACTTCTATTGCATGTGTTTGTCGTAGCCTCAATGAATAAGGATTCTGTAATCACACACACATTCTCTCTCTTTCCACCTACCCGTATTACCTTTTAGAATATTAGCTCAGTCCCATCTACTCTATTGTGCCATTGTGTGTATCAATGCATACAGTGCGTTTTCTGAGTTTTATTTCCCTCTAAATTACTCACCTTCATGGGATCAATCATTCTAACCTTAGCTAAATTCTTGTGTTCTGATAATCTCAATACTCTTTATCTCCTAGTCTGACCTATGTAGTTGACACAACTCACAGTCATTGCAAGGCATTTGGTAAATTATATGATTTAATCTAATTGGTAGAGAATATTTATAGCTAAGGTGTATGATTTGCAGTTAGTAGTGTTTTATGAGATAGTTGGTTTAAATACGGAGCTTTCGTCGTCCTTCTGGATATAGCACCTTCAGCGCAATTTTTAGAACCTGATATGGGTTCACTGGGTCTTTTAGTTTGCAGTGCTTGTCTCTGAGTGAGTTTGTAGGTATATAAATGATGTAAAAAGTTGTGTGAGTATTGCTTTGATATGATTATGAGCAGTAATAGTATGTGCTCGAAACGTAGGCATTAGTAAATATTACTGTATAACACCGTGTGATTCATCAAAATAAAATCTTATCCATAATGGAGTTATACTCTACCACCACAGTGCCCAAGTTATATACTTATATCAGTTTGCAGTAGAATGTTGAAAATGCTTTTTGTGATGGGCTAAGTTTCTGACCCCTGAAGAGAAAATAAAGAAACATTGGTGTTGGAAATTCGAATCTTGTTGTTTATTCTGAATGCAGCAGATTTCCAAACTGATTGATTTCAGAGTAATGGAGATGTGCTTGTCTTTTCGATTCTTGTGTTAACAATCCTCATCCGTACTGCCTTCCTGTAGTTGAATCGATGCTCCCTAGGTAAGTGAAAGTGTAACAACAGAAGACAAGGGGGAAGCAACAGATCGTTTTATTATGAAAATCAACACGTATTTATATATATTTCACATACATTATTATAGCTTATGCAAGTAGAAAAAGCGCAGTCATCTGATTGGTTGCAGACAAACGCAGGCTTCTGATTGGTTGTTTCGGGATTCCTTGACAAATAGAGTTCTCTATCTGCGAATCATATTTTGCCACGTTAACATTGCTGTGATTGGTTGTTGAATCAGCCTTGTTCATATTTTCTCACGGCCCATATTAGTGACCTAGACATTAACGTAGATTAGTGTCAACCAATCGGCTAGCAGCCTGCTCTCACCACAAAAGAAGTGACATCTTTCAAATTTCTCTTGTTTATTTTGATTGGTGCAGTTTGTTGTCACTGTTAGTTGGTTGGTTGGTTGGTTATCTTCATCACCTTCTTCCTCCCTCTTCTCTGTGTTCCCCTGAAATCCTGTCTTTGCTGATTGCCTCTGCAGCCAGTTTGTTGGCTTCCACCTTCAAGTCTTCAAATTTATGTGACAATAGATATAAATCGTCTGCGAAAGCCTAGATCTTCCAGATTCTTCTTATCGTTCCGTTGTATTCCTCCCGTCTTTTCTCTTCCGGTAAATCTGGAGCATAATCCATTTCACCACAATTAAAAATATCATCTTCACTTCAAAGGTTTCGTTAATTTTTCCCTTAAGGACCACCTGATATGTGGTATTGTCGTAAAGTTGTTGAATGAGGTGGATGCATGTTCAGTGTACTCCCTAGTGTTGAAGTAGTTTCCAAGTGATTTCATCGTCAACGTTGCTGAAGGCCTTTTCAAAGTCTATGAATTTGAGATAGATATTTAACTACCACTCTATGATGCCCAGAGCTGCGATTCCATCCTGAAGCTAACTTCTTCCAGCCTGGCATAGTTCCACTTCCAACGTCTCTTTTAGCCACTTCATGTTATCTACTCGAGTTGTATTGAATTATGTATCGTTTTCCATTAAAAAACCCTCAGGTTATGTCTGCTGGGTGATGTCAAACAAAGTTAATGACCAACTGACTAATTGAATTTTCAGCTTAGAACTTTTCACTGAAAAGTGTAACAGTTCATGTTCATTGACTTCATGAAACAAACATAATAAACGGAGGTAGACATGTGTAAGAATAATAACCTAAAGAAGAATGATGTGGCATTTGCTACTGACAAAAATTCATAAGTAGTATATTGTGTAGGTGAATAGAGTGTCTTCTGCAGGTCTCTTGATTGTCAGAGCGATGCATTAAGTTGAAAAGAGGGAAAAGATAAAAGACAAGAGAATTAGCATATGAAATCACTGGCCTACCTGAACATTCTATGCACTTAAACGCTTAGTGTTCGCTCTATTTCATACTGTTTTAATCATACAATTGTGTCTAAGATTCACAATTTATACTCAGGCATATTTTCAAATAGGTTTCAACCTTTTGCTACAAATTTTCTGACGGAAATGGACAAGAAACACTTTAGATTATTAGAGCATGTCTC